AGCGCAGCGTCAGAGGCTGCCCCGGAACGCCGAGCTTCTCTGAACGCTTCCTTGATAAATGCGCAAAAGGGTTCCGTAGACTAGACGAGCTGAAAAATGGGAAGTCGAGAAGTTGGGGTCAGGCTTCTTTGGCTGGAAGGTGCCTGATGCTGAGGGAGAGGTTGTTGACAGATCTCTTTGTGGGTGTTTCCTTTGAGAGAAAGGAAGGGAGAGTCGTTGGGACTTGGGACCTATTTTCTTTTTCTACTTCCTTTTCTGCTCCGTAGTGGTGGAAAGACACAGTGGTATGTGACATTCCTGTTGGAGAATGGGCATTGTCCCACTCGTGTCCAAACATGATGTGAATGTGGATGAATTTAGCATTAGTTTTTAGAGGAATCTCCCAGAATGCTGAGAAAGGACACGTTGCTTTTGCCCCGTGGTCTCCGAAGTTACTGCTCCCAGGCTTATGAGTGCAACGCTCAAGTTTCATCAGCTGTTCCTGAATCTGTGTGGTGATTGCAGAGAAAGGAATCGCTTGGGAAGAATTAGGCTGAAGCATAACTGAGTGTCACTGAGTGAAGTTGTCAGCATTAATTTTTTGTGTCTTTCTTTCTTGGTGGCTGACTATGGATGTGAAGTTTTTTACCAGCTCCAACACAGCTGTCCCAAGACCAGCTAGAACTTGAGGAAAGAGCCAGAGCCCAAAGATCCAGGCAGACTGCGCTCGTCTCCTCGCGGAGGGAACCTCCTCCCTACGGGTACCGGAAGGGATGGATACCACGGGCACTAGAGGTGAGTGTTCGAACTCTTCTGTACAAGTGTGTCTGCTAATGGGGAAAAAAGTCCGTTTTCCTGAGTAGAAATAAACCCAGCTACACTGTGAGTGTAGCTCAGAATTGTGCAAAGCCCTACCATGTGCAGCATTTTCGTCCAGATTGCTTGATAGTTTCTTGGGTTGGGAGAGGTTCTAATACACCAAATTGCTTGAAATGTTTGGTGGTGAACAGGATCTTACGAGGATTTTTCCCTTCAGAGATTGTTGTGTTGTAATATGGAAATAGGTCTGTGGTCCTTTTGGTTTACAATCTGTGAATGTAAAGGTACTCTGGGAAAGACATCTATATTGTTCCTCTGTCATCATTAAAGACACATGCCATATTATAGCTGGAAGAAGCGAACATGTGTATCAGAGAAGAGAACACTCGTGTTCTGTTCAAAAAGATAACTCCTGTTGAGGGAGAAAATTGTTAGAGCTGGAAGGAAACTTAAAAATTAGTCAGATATTTGTTGTGTAAGTATGTTGCTGACAGAAGGGTTTTGCACTGTGTTGCATGTCTTTAGCTGTAATCCTTGCCAGTTTAATGTAATTCCAACTGGAACTGTTAAAAGGCAGAAGGGAAAATACAAATATGTAGCTCTGATTACAAAACTGGTTTAGTGCAGTCTCTCACTGTGAGCCAGAAGAGCCTTGCACTCTTTGACAATGGCATATGAGACCTGCTCTGATGAGTCACAACCCAGTGCTCTTGGGACAGGGCATGTTGTCAGGGTTTTCTTACAGGATTTTCTGTATGATCCTACATTGTTCCCAAGTACATCATTTCATGAGCTGGTGAAAGTCTTTCCCTCATTTGTGTTTCAGTCTCACCTTTGTAAAGATGGGTCCAACATTGTTCCATGGTGATCCATGTAGTTCCAGTGGTTCTCTGAAGGAAAACATTCTTATGTGGGTTCAGCATTTAGTCGAGTGTGTGGTGTTAAAAATTACACCTTCATTAAACCCTGTATAGGATTCCTTCCTGCACCATTGGTTGTATTAGTTAATAGTTAGTATTTTAGTTCTTATTATTTCCAATTGTTAGTAAAAGAATTTTGTGAGAAATCAGGTGGTGAAGGCTTGCAAAGAGTTTCTGGCATCACTAGAACACAAATTGATACACATCCCAAAAAGACTGTTGAGGACTTCTTTCTGCTTCATAAACCTATGCAGATTTAAGAGCAGTAAATGCTTCCAAAGCATAACCTTTGTCCAGTGATCCTGGAATGCCATTGTTGGAAAAAACAATGCTTGTTCTTAATACATCAAGGATTATGCCAAAAATAAATTGAGGACTGACTGACATTTGTTCTGGCTAATATTTTAACATTGACTCTGTAACTAATCATCAAATGTGGGACATCCTGTGGAAAACTTTAAATAACTGAAACTTTCTTTCAACAAGCATTTATAGATGGCATGAGCATGTCCCTCTTTGGAGTGAAGTGTTCTGCCCAGTCATTCCATCCTCATTTCACACTTTATGTCCCAGTGGTGGTAACTATTTGGTCACATGGTGTGCATGGACAGAGCTTGATCTGCCCAAGACACCAATTTTTCTTCTGATCTCTTTGATTTTCAGACTCCACATGAACAGTGCCATTGCAGCAGAGGGAGGGGGAGATGCTCGTGCTGCTTTAAGCAAATGCTTCCTCTGAATGCTACTTCTCAAACTGTAGCCTGAAGTTGTTTTATGAATAGGACCAGTATTGTGTGCATGTTCAGTGTTCCTGAGTCAGGGTGGTCTGCCTTAAGGTCTTTTGGATATCTGTTTATTAAATGCTTTTACAGCAACTCATTGAAGGAGAGAGGCAGTAAGCTGTAAGAATATTGGACTGTTGTGTGCTGGCCCAATTTTCAGCATATTTACATGTCGAAGTAAGGAAATGCTTGGCATTGGTACCATTGTAAAGCTATGAAAGGAATTTACTGCTTTTTTTAACTTCACTTGGTTATAGTGTGAAAAGCGACAAATAGCTAGTAGAAATCTTCATTAAAAAATGCTGCTCTTGTCATTTTAGTATCCACAGTTGCTTTATTGCAGAAGGCAAGTTTTTAAAGCTGTAATTAATAACTCACGTGTGAATTAAATACTTAATTTTGTATTGTCTGTAACATTGCCAGCACATTCTAGTCAGTGATACCTCTTCCTGCTTTGTGCAGGGAATAATTACTGCAAGATGTCTGTTTCAGTATCTTTTAGTAAGTGTAAGTTCTCTCATTCATTGTTCTCTTAGCAGCAAAAATAATAAAGTGACTATAGCTTTCTTGCTGTGTTTCTTTTTGTTGAAATCATTCAGCTCTTTCATTCCATTTCCCATCCACGTAGATACTATACCATGGTGTTGTCTTTTGATCATTTACGGCTCTTCTCTTTTCTGTAGGATTTTGGAGATGGAGGTGCTTTCCCAGAAATTCATGTGGCCCAATATCCATTGGATATGGGCCGAAAGAAGAAAATGTCCAATGCTTTGGCTGTTCAGGTGGATGCAGAAGGAAAAATAAAATACGATGCAATTGCTCGACAAGGACAGTCAAAGGACAAGGTAATGTTTCTTCAGATGTGTCGACTGGCATGTTACCTGGAAAAGCTGTATGTACACTTGCATATGCGTCAGTGCATTGGTCTGGCATAAGCCAAATGGATTGTCCCCTCTTCTCTTAAACTTTAGGAACTGAAGTAATGTCAGAACTGAGATTGTGGTCTTCTCTTTTGTGTAGTTAAAAGATAAGGTAAAAATGGTGAGAGTCTCCACACAAAACTTCATAACTTAGCAGTTTTCATTAGAAAGCTTTTCAGTGAAGGCAACAAACTAAAGAGAGGTCCACAGCCTCGTTTCAGTGTGTAGAAAGAGGGGGCAAAAAAAGCCACACAGAAAACACAGTTCAGCTTTCAGAATAGTGCACCTTGTGACTTACTGATTTCACATTTGAAGTTTCTGCCTGTTTTCAGTGTTGTTGGTGCTCCATTTTGGTTATTGTTGTTTAATTGCAGCAGAAAGTACTGCCAGTAGTCAGACTCCAGAAGTTTTGTACTAAGTTCAGTGCTGGCAAGATTCTCATTGAGTTTAGTGGAAACCAGTTTCAATTTCCTGTGTGCAGTAGCATTTCTAAAAACTTGAGATGACACTTAAGGTCCTAAGAGGCATGAGCAAGTGTATGCCCAGCTCCTTGTTCCAGCAAGCATCTCCTGTAAAGAATAGGGTAACCCAAAGAAAATCTGAAGGGTGTTAATTGCAAAGAGTGTTTTAGTTAATAGATGTGGGTAGTTGTTTTCAAAATAATTTTACTTCTGCTTAATTTAGGGTGCCTGGAAAAGCTTATGGGTATGTAATATGCCCCATGTCTTATTGCAGTTGAGGAAGGGGGAAAACCAAAATATGAACTTCACCTCTCCAGCTAAAGATTCTCTATGCTCTCTATTCTTAGAGCATTCTAAGAGTATCAAAGGAAATACTTCTTTTTTAACAGATAAATTTGTTTGTTGGTTTAAATTGATCCTACAGTTGTCAAAGTTGCAGAAAGATAATGCCAGTAGGATTTTATATTTAACTATTACTGAGTGGCGAAAAAAGTGTCACATGTTGTATAACTCATCCTGTGCATCATATGTTACTGCAACACCTTTGAAAAAGATGCGAGAAAATTGGACTCCATGCTGTCATGTGGTAGAAAGCAGTCAGATAAACAGAAACAGCAGTGGCAATATTTTTATTGAGGGGACTTTTATTGGATTTTTGTCAGACTTTATGTAATGTCTGGAATTATTTGGTAAGAGGAAGGTGCTAAAATATTAGTTATATTTGAATAATTTAAAATATTTGATAGTTCATGCCAAATAGAAATTTTACTTATTCCAAGGCGTAAAAGTACTTTGAAGCAGATAAGTAGAGAGTAGTAATAATCATACCAATTCTGGGGAAGGTGCAGGTCAAATAATTAAAAAAATTAGTGTAGTTAAACCCTCATTTTTGCAACTTGTCAAATAGATTTTTATTTACTTGTAGGATCATTTGAAACTTGCCTGTAATAGAACTATTTGGATTGAAATCTAAGTGTGTTTGAACAAGAAGAGATATGATAGTAGGCTCTAGGCAAAAATGACTATAATCTTTTGCTGTGCCTTACTTGGTTCAGAGTTAGGAGAAACAGGTAAGGTTAAATTTAAGTTGCTAACATTTCTCATATTTGATTCATGAAGATGTATACCAGCATTCATTAACTTTCTGTATGACATCTATAGCAAAGCAGTAGTATTCTCATTTTGTAGCCACAGTAATGAAGATTGATGAGATATGGGGTTTCTCCAAAACCAGGCTCTGTAGAACTGTAGATTTAGGATTTAGGCCTTCTGGGTCAGTTTGATCCTGATTGCATCCAGCTGGATGTAAATGCTGAGAGTAAAGATTAAGTATTGTGATTTAAGGGGAAGTACAATCTGGGGGGAAATTAGATCATAGATTCATAGAATGGTTTGGGTTGGGATACCTTCTGCTAGACCAGGTTGCTCAGAGCCTCTTCCATCCTGGCCTTGAATATTTCCAGGGATGGGGCATCCACAACTTTCTGGCCAACCTGTTCCAGTGTCTCGCCACCCTCACAGTAAATAATTCCTTCCTAATACCTAATCTAAACGTGCTCTCTTTCAGTTTGAAGCCATTCCAGCTTGTCCTATCATTACATGCCCATGTGAAAAGTCCCTCTCTAGCCTTCTTGTAGGCCCCACTTAGGTACTTGAAGGCTGCTGTAAGGTCTTCCTGAAGCCCTCTCTTCTCCAGGCTGAACAGCCCCCACTCTCCCAGCCTGTCTCTGTAGGAGAGGTGCTCCAGCCCTCTGATCAACTTAGTGGCCCCCTCTGGACTCATTCCAACAGGTCAGCTCCCTTCTTGTGTTTGGGGCCTTAGAGCTGGATGCAGTACTCCAGGTGAGGTCTCAGTAGAGCAGAGTAGAGGGGCAGAATCACCTCCCTTGACCTGCTGACTACACTGCTTTTGATGCAGCCCAGGATACGATTGGCTTTCTGAGCTGCAACAGACACTGAAACAATCTCACTGGAACCAGCAGAACTACTATTGCTTGATTTGTTTTGCAGGAGAAAGTATTGGCAGAGACGTCGTAGGGAGCAGTTATTCAGTCATCTGTGTTGAGATGACTAGTGTGGAATATTTTCTCTAAGAACTCCTGAAAGTACATTGTCAGTAGGATTAGGGAGAGAAGTTTCATTTTCCTGAGAAGTGCAGCCATATTTCAAATATTTATTTAATCTTAATTCTTGGAGCTAAAAGAAACAGATACTTAGCAGCCTGCCAGAAGTGAGATGGACTTTCTGAACCTGTTCTATGAGCTACTTGTTTGGGCTGAGTTAAGAAGCAAATTTTACTTTTGCTACAGCTTATGGATTTTTTGAAGTTGAATGTAGTATTCTGCCTTCTTGTAGAGGCAGCAGTTCCATCACCCAGACCCTGTCTCTAGGTGACCTGTCAGCAGTTTCTGCTGTTGCAGTGGTTCATCTCTCTTGTATCTATTCTGTTACATGTTTAAAAAATAGTTGCTTCAGAGAATTTTTTCTTGAGAAATGCTTACATAAATGTGATAGTCTGACGAACTTCCTGTTTGGGGCTGGCAGAAGTTCTGCTAGGCATGAAATGCTGGATAACGTTGACAAACTTGGATGGATCCTTATGGATCTAAGGATGGAGTTCCATCTGGTTGTTGAGATGAAGGATTTCCAGAGTTAACTGTGTGGTTAGATCTTGTGCTGCTATAAATTCTTCCTGTACTTTCTCTACTCCCATTACTAAAAGCCAAGCTAGAATAATGCATCAACAGTGACAGAGTTTGGTGAGACTGATACTCTCTCCCTTTATTAGGAAAATAAGGACATATAATTGTATCCTGTGCTTTTATGAAGTCAGAAGAGAGTGAAGTCAAGGAATGGAACTACTAGATCCATTTTTTTTTTCTGGCAAGGGTGATTACTTTGTACAGGAGTTGGATTTCTTCTCGGTGGCCCAAGGAGAAGAAAAGAATCGCAAATCTTACTTACAGTTTTCTCTTCAGATTGTGAATTCAATTAAAATATTTACAAGAAAAAGTAGTTCTGTTGTTGAAGGAACTCTTGGCACAGCAAGCGAACAAGTCAAGAGAACATGAATGTAACTAAAATAATCAATTATCAAAAGTCAATCAGTTATCAAAAATTCTTTACTGGTAATATATTTGCCTTTGTGGCAAACCAGAGCTTGGTTTGAGAGTTTATCACCATTTTTCTCTCTGGTGTCTGCACCAGGCTTACAACCAGGTAATTTTAATAACTTCTGAAGTGTCATATGCTTCATATGGAGAAACAATTCTTTGACAAGGAAGGAATTAATTCTGCAAGGCTTGATAGGAGCTTCTTGATTTACACATAGAATGGATGAACGTGCGCTGGGCTGGTCGGGATATACGGACTAAAATATGTCGAGGAGAGGGATTTATGTGTAGCAAATTAAGAAATTTCTGTCAAGACACTTTCATCTATCAAGTGTCTTGTGAAACTCTCGGTGTGATTGATGTCTAATAACCAGTTAGGTAGGATTGTTCTCTTTCTGATTGCAGTGGCATGCAGGTTTCTAATTGCTGCCTGCTAGGGCTGCCCCAGCCAAGGAATCGTGTAGCTGTACCAAAACTTGAGCTTTTTCTTTCTGCCTAGAAAGAGATTCTGCTTTTCAGTAGCAATCAAAACGAAATACCTGAAATGCAGGCTGATGCTTCCTTTTAAATTCATAGATTGAAAACTGGTAGTGGATGGGCATAGCACAGTAGCAAACAATTTTGGTCTCCTCTTTATCTGAAATTAATAAAATGTCTCAACACTACAGTTAAAATAAGATTAATATCTAGAAAAACAACAAAAAGTGTAACTGCTTCTGTATTACCTCAAAAAAGGACTCCAATAAAAACATGTAAGTTTATCAAGTCTTTGATGAAGGCAGAAATACTTGTATTGTCAGGCTAGTTTAATCTATACTGTGGATTTTATCCATAGTAGTGCAGCTTTCCATTTGCGTGGAATACTTAAGAGTTTAAATAGTTCATGCAGCTCATTTGTACCTCAGTGTGCAATAGTTTTTAGAGTACTTCATGGACTTCTTTTTTATTTTCTTTTTTTTTTTTTTGGTCTTCTGGGATGCTTTAAAGCTCTTTCAGCATACTTTGTTCTTCATGCAGCAAGACACTGGACTTAGAGTTTAATTACCTTAGAGGAACACTGTTCTTCAGATGTCCTTCGTTCAGCATCTGAGAAGCTAGAATATTAGTGATACTAATTCAAAGGATTAAAATTTTAGGAGTGAAGGCAGAGAAGCAGAAAATGGCTCTTATGTGACTAATTAATGCCGAGGCTAAAGGTCAGTTTTATAGTTGGACATGCACTGTATAATCAACTTGAAGTAACAGTTCTAAGGACTTTTAACCCTTTGAACTAAACCTCTCTGCTTTGTTGGATAAATATGAAACATTAATGCAATATAATAATTTTTTCCCATAGCCATCTCATAGTGTTTTTTCCTTATATTTAAAATTGGGATTGAAAGCTGATGCCAGCTGGCTGCATGTTCTGTAAAGACCTTTATAAAGGAAAGTATCAGAACAGGTTTCTCAGGCATTTATTCTTTTCAAGAAAATATGAAATGGAAAAATCCAGATGGTGAAAAATACTTGTATGAAATTCTTGACTAATCCTTGAAAGCAGAAGTAAAAATGTGAGGGAGTTTGTCTGGGGACCCTGAGAAAGGACAAGATAGGAATGGGAAGCAGGAAACTGGTGTCCGATGCCAGCTCTGAGAGTAATTTATATAATTATATTTAATCAAATTGCTTCTTTTCTTTGATTACTCCATCTGTAAAACGGGGTCCAGAGTATATTCTTGTTCTACGGGAATAGTTGAACAATATGTAATTGTAATGTATTTAGAGTTGTGTTTGTAATTCGTACTTAAAGCGTAATTAAGCCTGAAACATTTCCTTTGATACGTGTACATTTATTCCTGTTCACCAGCACTAGTAAAATCTTATGTCTTCCAGGTTATTTACAGCAAATACACAGATCTTGTGCCGAAAGAAGTCATGAATGTGGATGATCCTGAGCTGCAAAGACCAGACGAGGAGGCAATTAGAGAGGTATTACATGCACTCGTGTGCCTAGTTATCAGTGTTGTGCTTTAGGTATTGCATATGGAATGAGATGCACACTGTGGTGTTTTTTCTTCAGATAACAGAGAAGACCAGAGCAGCCTTGGAGAAATCAGTCTCCCAAAAAGTTGCAGCAGCCATGCCAGTTCGAGCTGCTGACAAACTGGCTCCTGCACAGTACATTCGGTACGTAGTGCTGGTGTCTGTCTGTGTGAGATGTTGGTACATGTAAATAGATTGAAATTGGCATATGCCTTGAATTTTTGAGAAGGGAAATTCCTTTTGAATTTTGTTTCTCTGTAAGGATATGGAACTGGCTTATATGTTTTGAATTAACCCACTATGATAACCTAGTTTGAAGTGTGTAGAAATATGTCTTTAACATGACAAGAGTTGTAGCACTTTGTGAAGAGTTATTGTTTTGGCAACAAAATGCAGATTTGTCAGGGATCACTATTAATGATGCTGCCCTGAAAACAGTGTTTACTGTGAGTTTCAGGCCAAGACAAGGCAAGTTCTTCCCTCACAGAAAATGAGCAATTGAAAAGAATTGGAATTACCAGGAGGCTGATACTCATTTGTGATGATTTTCTGCTTCAAACACAGAAAAATTTCATGGCAGGGTTAGACTTGGCCTGAGGTGAATTCTGGAAAAAGTATGTGAATAGGTTCTTGATAACCAGTAAGAAGTCACCAGGGAGTCACAGACATAGGTAAAGAGTATTGTGACAGACCGTGTGTACTGTACTAGGTTTTCCTTTTACTTCAGAATCTAGGTTGAAACAGGAGAATATAGCCTGGGAAGATACATTCTCTATTGGTGTAATTGACTGTTCAGTCCGGTGTCACCTGTGCAGTACCTGCCGCTGGCATTCGCAGCAGAGAGGTCTTAAACTGGTGTGGGAAAAATGAAAATGCAGCTAAAACAGTGAACTGAGTAAAAATGGAGGTGGGAAAGGACTGTCTACCTGTGTGCAGAGAACCGAGCACTTTGTTTTATTCAGGTACACACCATCTCAGCAAGGTGTTGCCTTCAACTCTGGAGCAAAACAGAGAGTTATTCGGATGGTGGAAATGCAGAAGGACCCCATGGAGCCTCCAAGATTCAAGTAAATATTCAAAACTTGTTCATGGCATTTAGAAGATTCTGAAGTGTATTTCCGTGCAACGTGCTGATTGTGATTCTGATTGTTTTCTTCATTGCTCAGAATTAACAAGAAGATTCCACGTGGACCACCTTCTCCTCCAGCACCTGTAATGCACTCTCCTAGCAGGAAGGTATGAAGTGCTGTAGCTGTTCAGTTCTGAATTCTTAGATGGGTTCACAAACTCTGCTTTGACCTCGTTCATTTCTCTTTACCTTCTCCTTCCTGTTCTTTTGGCACAATGTTGAGTGGTAAACTTGGTGCCTGGTGCAGCCTTTGGTTTGGTTTGGTTTTCTTTTTATTCATTTGGGCAGTTCTGGAAGTAGCTGTTGTCTTGTGTGTCCTGGTAAAGGCTGAGTAGATGTGTCGTATGTTTTATTCAGGGCTGCATTGTTGGATTTGCTCACAGCATGGATGAGCTGACTGAGGCTTTAGCCTTGGTATACTTGTGTTTCTTTTAGACAACACTGTTAAGCCAATCCTTAATAACAGAGTTGCCATTAAGAGTTAGCTCCTGAGAGATGAGTGTGATAGTGGTTCATCAGTTTCCTGCAACTGGAAGGGCTGTTAAATGTGCAGATGTTAACAAGTTGGCTGTGAGTTACAGCCTGTTCGAAGAAAGCTAAAGAGGATGTTGTGACTTTATTCAGTGGTGGCAAAGGTACAGTGCAAAAATAAACCCCATGGCAGGGGGATCGGAACTAGAAGATCTTTAAGGTCCCTTCCAACCAAACCATTCCTTGATTCTATAATTTTATTACTGCTAAGAAGAGCTGGTGTTTTTGTAGCGGAATCCCGAACTTTGTCTTCTAGTTTGTTTTAATAGTTTCATAGCGGCCTTTGAGAAAGAAAACAGTATTTCCTTTTGCTGTAAATCTGAAGATGACTTTGCTTCTTCTCTAAACTTAGATGACTGTGAAAGAGCAACAAGAATGGAAAATTCCTCCATGCATTTCAAACTGGAAAAATGCGAAGGTAATTAAGTCATCTTAAATTTATCTTTCTAATGTTGTACCCTGCTGTGAAACTCCTGTGAGTGATTTAAGCTTGAATAATACTGGTTTAAACCTCTAGAGTTAGGTAAACTGGCTGCTTCCAGCATGGAGAACACATGATTGTACAGCTTGCTGTACATGATTTTTTTTCTGTTTGGTGTATAGGGGTTGTCAAATTGAGGGAAACATAGAACTGAGGGAGAATGTTACTTCATGGCAGAGATTATACATTTTGAGAGGAAAAATGGTATTAGTTGTAATCCCCATAATAGTGCAGTCTGAAAACTCTGGAGACAGAGTAAAGCCATCTAAACTGACAAAGTGAAGGGTATCAGAGAACCGAGCATGTATCTTTTTAGTGCTGCAGTCCACATTTCTGGAAGGTTTTCCTTGTTGCATTCTATCACTAATTGATTTTCATCACTGGTCAGTTTAGCTGTTGTACTTCCTTGTTTGAGGAGGTATGTCCTGTCCCTTTGATTTTTATCAGCCATTAAGTTTATGTTCAGAGAGAGGGGAGAATTTATTTATTAATTTGCTGCAGTAACTGGTCTAATTATTCTGAAACTTACCAAGCTGTTGTCCTGAGGCAGCCTCTTCAAATGGAGGAAGGAAAAGCTGCATGTTTGGATTTTACTTCTTTTTTCCTACCCCAACACAGCTGTCTAACTGGGACTGATGCTAATTAGAGATCAGATTTTAGGTTACAGATGCTAAAACCAAAGCAAAAATTTTGTAGAGCTCGCTAAAGAATCTTAAAATACCATCTATGAATAATTTTAGGTTTCAGCTTTTGAAAGCAAAATTGGCATTTAGTGTGTCTTGCTGGCAGCCTTGCCCCTTACTTCCTCATTTTGAATCAGCTAATCTCTTAACAGGTATGAAAACAGTTTAGGTAAAAGAATTTGAAAGCAAAAAATTGTAAACCAGCTTAGAGACTGGGACAGTTGTTATCTGTAGTTCTCTACACAAAGCAAAGGGTGGATTTTTTCAGTCAAAAACTGCCTTTCATCCTAAGATGGAACTTGAAGGGAAACTGCGATTCAGATTTGGAGGGAATGTAGAATTGGGGCAAAGCTTAATCTTACCTGGTAAGAATCTGAAATACAGGTAAAGGAGATCCATTCAGGCACATTAATGATGGGCTGTCAGTTTTTTTGTTTTCTTACACTATGTAATAATGCTTGTCATCACAAATAATGTTTCTGTGACTAACTGCCACTCTGTTCCCACTGCAGGGTTACACCATTCCCTTGGATAAGCGTCTGGCTGCAGATGGCAGAGGATTGCAGACTGTCCATATTAATGAAAACTTTGCCAAGCTTGCTGAGGCTCTCTATATTGCTGACAGAAAGGTCAGGTGGCTGTTTAAACTGTTCTGTTCTGTATAGTTTTACCTTCTTTGTATGTTTATTTCCTTGGGAATATCAACTGTGAATAGGCTGTAGCTTTTTGTTTTGCCCTTCTTGGCTAACATTAAACTTAGGGTCTTATCCCCACCAGCTCTGAATCAAATGACAGTGTGGGTTAAATTATGGGAGGTTATGGGTCTTGTCTCTCAGCTCGAAGTGCTGTGGCTGTCTGGCTTTGAGCCCCCCCTTTTTGGCTTGATTTTTGCCCTGTTTACTGAATAACTCCATGGCAGAAGCTGTGCTTGTATCCCAGGTGCCAGCTTTTTCTGGCTCTTCAACTGTGTCTTATTTGTGCAGGCTCGTGAGGCAGTAGAGATGCGCGCCCAGGTAGAGAGGAAGATGGCTCAGAAAGAAAAGGAGAAACACGAGGAAAAGCTCCGAGAAATGGCTCAGAAAGCCAGAGAGAGAAGAGCAGGGATCAAAACCCATGTTGAAAAAGGTACATTTCTTTGTTATTAAGGTGCTATGGCTTTTTTTAACACTCTGAAGTATGGGTTTGGAGCAATAAACCGAGAACTTGTAATATCTGAATATCAGCTGAAATTTCTAAGCATGGCATCTGTTCATGTCTTCACTCAACCCGTTACTTCACTGGCTGGCTCAGTGGGATCTGAGTTTGAGCCTCACAGCTGTGCATCAGTGTACAGAGGTTTAGGACACTGAGAATCTCGGAGTTACTAATGCATCAGTGCAAGTGATGGCTTTCATGGACTATTTGTGGAAGAAGCTTGTTGCAGATGAAGGGCAACTTTGTTTAGAAGAGCTAAACTATCTTTAAGTTTTCAAAGGTGGTAAATGCAATATTCTGTCCCTTGTGCTGTTGTAACTGGTCTTGCAGAACTGTAGTTCCATTGATTGATTCTATCATATGGTCATATAATGCTAAATCCTGCAGCTGGGATGGACTAACCTCTTCCCAGCAGGCTGGGGCTGGGCAGCTGGAGAGCCACTCTGTTGGGAGAGACCCAGGAGTCCCAGTGAAGAGTGTGCTGTACGTGAGCCAGCAGTGTGCCCTGGCAGCGGTGATGCTAAGGGCATACCAAGCTGCATCTGCAGGCGTGTAAGCAGTAGGTCAAGAGAAGTAAGTTTCCTTCTACTGGTGACCTGTTTGACTGCATCTAGAATACTTTGTGCAGTTAGAAGCCTCCAGGTACAAGACAGACATGGACAGACAGGAGTGAGTTCAATGGAAGGCTGTCAGAATGGTCAGGAGGCTCAAGTATCTGCCTGTTCAGGAGGTGCTGAGAGAATGAAGCTTGTTCTGCCAGGAGATGATGTGGTTTTGGGGACAACTAATGGGAGTTTTCCCACATCTACAAGATCATGAGAGCTCTTCACTAAGCTGCACAGTGAAAGAATGAAACAGTGGTCAAGAGTTGAAGCAGGAGGTTCCAAATACATGTGAGGAGAAAAATTTTCACCGTGAGTTCAAGCAGCACTGGAACGGGTTGCTTAGGGAGTCTGGCAGTCTTGATGCTTGCAGGTCTTCCCCACCTGAGTGGGAAAAGCACTGACCAACCTGTTTGAATTCTGCATTGATGCTGCATTCAGCAGGAGGTTGTGAACTAGACTCCCTTCCAACCTGAGTGATTTTCTGACTTTACATCACAGAATGTTCTTCAAAGCACTTAGATCCCTGCATGCTCCAATGATATTTTTACACTTAAAATTACGATATAATGATCTGTAAGTGTTTTAGGATATTAATTCCTAGAGGGATGATTCCTAGGCTCTTGAAAGCTGGGAAAATATAGTTGTTGCATATGTCAACTTTGCCTCTTGTCAAGAAGAGTCAGTGGCTTTGTGGCATAAGAAGGCTGTCATAATTCGTGTGTTCAGTTTGTTTAAAGTGTAACATTTTAAATAGTGCTAAGGGTCACTAGTCTTCTGTAAAAGAACACTGAGTTGAATTACTATGCCACCGTCTGTGGCATAATTAATTCAAACTTCAAGTATTTGTCTGTAACGAGCAATCTTGCATTTGTTCAGAGGATGGAGAAGCTAGAGAAAGAGATGAAATCAGACATGACCGGCGCAAAGAGAGACAGCATGACAGAAACCTTTCCCGAGCAGCCCCTGACAAAAGGTGAGGCACCAAAACGGCTGGTTTGTTCCTGTGCTGGCACTGGTTTCCCCACTAGAGAAACTTTTACACTGGGCTTCCTTTTGCTTGATGAGAGTGCCTGAATTGTACCTTGTGGAGATACTCACTGGTATGAAGCAACAGTTGATTCATTGTATGGAAAGGTATTCCTGTGTTAAAACACTGCAGTACTCTCTTGGAAATGTAATTTTCCACATGAATGGGAGAGGGGGACGTGGTCTGTTGGTTTCGTGTGGTATTTGCTTTAGCAGAACTTCAGTATATTCAGATTTAATTAACATGTTGAGAGCAAAGGTTGAAACCTGGATCCTGTAGCTTCAGTGAGACCAGAGCATCATTAGTGGCTTTGTTTCTTGAAGCTGTTCATTGGAAGTAAGCTTAGGTTTATGAGCGTAGGCTGAACTATCTTTGTTTGCTGAAGCCAGTGAGATTTCTGAGCACAACTGGTTTCTGGAGGCTTAAAATCTCTAGTATCTTAAAATTGGATTGCTCAGCCTTCCCAGAATATAACTGCACTGGTTCTGCAAAAAATAAATATGACATTTTAGACCAAGTCAGCTTGATGTAAATTGCAGATAGTGGAAAGCAAATTTAAATGTCATGCCCAGTTGAACATAACTTTTCCAAATGTTTCCTTTGCCCGGAGACAGATTTTAAATGTTACCTAGTAAGGAAGGGCAACAGTCAAAATCTGGTTCCTGAGGAAAACCGTCAGCGACTAATAGAGGATCAGGTTGCAGCTGAGTATGTCAACTAGTATGGTTTCCTGACCTAATGAAACTCTACATTTTTAATTCAGGTCAAAGCTGCAGAGAAATGAGAACAGAGATATCAGTGAGGTTATTGCCCTGGGGGTACCCAACCCCAGGCCATCCAACGAAATCCAGTATGACCAGAGGCTGTTCAACCTGAGCAAGGTGAAGTATCTTTTCACAGCTGTGTAGCTTTCTATGAGAACATGCTCATCCTTCCTTAGTGGGCATGGCTAGAATTCTAAGGGGAGCCTGTTCTCATAGTTGGTGTGGATACACTCTGAAAGAAGTCTCTCCATAACTGTTTAGGAAACGATTGATTTCCTTTATCTATAGCTGATGCAACAAAAATGGAATATTCTGAATGTATAACTGGATTAAAGTGTTTATGTTGTGATTTCTCTCACTGGGGAGCGGGGAGAAAGAAACTATTTTGCCTTCAAGCTGCAGTGACCTCATTTTCCTCTCTTGTGCAAATGTACTGACTGAATAGGGAAATCTGCTCTAGGAGAGGAGCAAGTAAATACTTTCTATTCCCATTATTGCTTATGTTAAAAATGCTTCCGAAAATATAGTTAACAGCCACATTTATTTCCTCTGAACTTTATACTATTCAGAGATGAAAAAGTAGATTAGGCTTCACAAAGTCCCTGAATAGACCTACAGTTTGTCAATCATTCTTTTTCATGTCTCCAATGGAAGACTTGCGGGCAGAAGGGAAAGCTGATGAACCAAAGGCGAACAAGCAGCCACTTCTACTTTCAGAGTTTCTATAAGCCTCTGTGTGATTTGGATCAGTCAGCTTAAATCATGTTTTCCAGAAATTCTGAATAATACGCGTTTCTGTATGGTTGTGCTTAGCTATTACAGACAGCTGTACTTGCAGGGCAGACTGAAATGATCCATTATTCTGAAATATGGATGGCCTTAATCCTTCCCGTTGCCTTCTGGAAGAGTACGATGGAGGCTTGTAATGTCATGTTCTCTGGACTTAATCCCAGATCCAGACCCACTCAAATACTGATAAAGTGCTTGGAATGATGTGAAATCAGTAGCAAATCACAGAATACCATATTTGTGTATTTGTGCGACACCATCTGTGCATTTTGATGTTGAAGTAAGTTAGCTGAAGTTTTGCAGACTCATTTGTGTTATTCTGCTGCTGTTCTTCACAGGGTATGGACAGTGGCTTTGCTGGAGGAGAGGATGAAATTTATAATGTTTACGACCAGCCTTGGAGAAGTGGCAAGGACATGGCCCAAAACATCTACAGGCCGAGTAAAAATGTGGATAAGGACATGTATGGTGATGATTTAGAGGCTCGAATAAAGACTAACAGGTAAGAAAATAAAGTTAAGAAGTACTTTTCATTAGTACTCTGAAGTTATTCAACCGAGTATCACTTCTTCTCCTGCAGGTTTGTTCCTGACAAAGAGTTTTCTAGCTCAGATCGTAACACCAGAGGGAGGGGCAGAGATGGACCAGTTCAATTTGAGGAGGATCCATTCGGTTTGGACAAGTTTCTGGAAGAAGCTAAGCAACACGGTGGTTCTAAACGGCCATCGGATAGCAGCCGCCCGAAAGAACATGAGCATGAGAGCAAAAAGAGGAGGAAGGACTGAATGCCTCTGCTCCTTGAGAGGTAGAGAAATGGACTGCAGGCTTGGACTTCATGCAAAAGGATTTTTTAATACCAGAGGTGTATAGGAGGATGGCGTTGTAGTGCAGCAGTTTACAACTCTTGCTGTGTATCGATACACACACACTAGTTCTACATGTGACAGCTACCCCGGGAGAGTGGAGGAATGGAAACCACTTTGAAACATTTCAGATGGGAATTAGTTGTTCTTTAGCTAAAGTGCTCTGACTTTGCTGATTCCCCACTGCTCAGCATCTCAGGGTACGAATGTAGTCCCTTCCTACAGCTTTAGTTTTTGTAGGTAGCTAAAGCTTTGACCTCATCTGTTAAAAGCTTTCCTGCTGTATATAAATTACTGTCTTAGGCTGTACTGGATGCTGGGGTGTTTGATTCAGTGTTTCTTTAGTGTGGCTATACAGTTCATTTGAACAAGGAGGGGAAACAGCTGGATTCTGTTTTAAAACAAACACTCATTAATAGTTTCTCAGTAATCTTTATTTTAGTTTCTTTATATTTAGTGAAATAAAGCCTCCTGCCACCGCTCACTCACTCTGACTCCTCCTTTGACTGCGTCTCCTGCGGACCTGCTGCTTGAGAATCAGCTGAAAACAAGGGAAATGATTCAAGTTAGCTATGCAAGAGAGTTTGGCATTTTTCATTTTTGATCATCTAAAACACTCATATGGAGAACAGTAGATGGGTTTATGATCAGTTCAGTTTCGTGAGCCCCAGTCACACAGGCTAAACTCCCACCAAGAAAGTTGAATATACATATATTGCACAGCCATTGCTACTTGTATCAGCAAAATGCATCCTAAAAGCTTGTGCTTTCAGGTGGAACTAAGAGAAAGTAACTCTCTTAACTTAGCCTAGAACAGTGTGGGAGAAGTGCTCATGTATTCCAGAGAAACTTGCATTTTGCAAGAAGTGAAGCTAACTACTGCCTGCCTTGTGCTTTTTATTTCTCTATAAAGAAGCCTCTTAGCTCCGGCACCTTTTGTGAGAGTGCAGTCCTTGAAGCCTAGGCAGTTAAGTGAACGTGGCTGTCTTACAGCTTCAAGAATAAAAAGCAGCAAAATAATTTCCAGGAAATTGACACTAAATACTCATCTGTGCTATTCCTAGAACTTATTTTGATAATTGCTCACAGATCACATCCTAGTTCAGCACAATTTGAGGGATCAGCCTACTGCCTGTCTTGTCACAGTTCAAGGAGTCTTAATTTCTGCTTCCATTTTTGTACCACAGTTGTAGCTCACAGGTCAGTTCTTCCTGGCATAGGCACTGAAGTAACCACGACCCATTAAGACTTCTGCAGTAGTATGAACAATGTCAAGCAAAATATTTTATCACGACCAACATAATGCATCCCTTGCCCATTCATTCATTCTTACCATCTCCTAGCACCAAAAGTCTCAAAAGGAGAAACTCTTCTCAAAAGACATGAGCTGAACTGATGATGTCTGCTACACCTGCCTGCTTGTTGCTCATGGCTTCACTCTGCTCTACTGGGAAAGGAGCTAGACCAGATGAAACACAGGCAAATCTGTTAGAAAATCCCCTATTTAGGGAACAATGTAATGATTCTGAATGAGATGTGTTAATGAATCAGTGGCTTTGGGCAGCCATTGACTCACTGTCCCTTCTTCCCTTACCTGTCAACACTACTGCATACTAAATGTTTGGGAAGCAGTGGGATGGCAATTCCTGTGCTCTATTTGTTTGCTGCAGTGAAGCCAGCTGATAGTTGTCTGGCTCTGACTGCCCAACCAGTCAGTGACAGACACTTCTGTATGGGTACTAGACCAACAGTTTCTATCTGACCATGTACACTGCCATGATACCATACACTAATGCACCAAGATTGCCTAAGTGTCCTATTTTTTTCCCTTTATGAACATTTACAATGTTAGAAGATTGAGAGAAAAAACCCTCCAACCTACACTAATGCTAATTTAAAGTTTTCTTGAGCACATGCAAGCAGGCAGCTGACTTCTCCTGCATGAAGTGACAGCTGAAGGAAAATAAATTTCACTGAAGTTCAAAGCCTAGCATTGCTTTCTTTGTCATAGTCCCCCTTTCCCCTGCCACCCAACATCCAGATCGAGTGTTGCAATCCACCTGCAGAAACCTGTATTACAAGTTATAACCGAGGGGCAAAGTAGATCCCTAAGGCTTTTATTGCAATCACATTCCTTTAGCTTAACATAGCAGGAGTTTTCGGTCTCTCTTTTGCTATCTGTATGATCTAATGAATCAAGCTGAGAGGAGGGAATAAACAAAAGTGTATTAGCACTTTTAAATCATGGGTTTAAAAGACATTAAGTGCACACTGAGTCGCAAAATGCTTAACCACACTTTGAACAAGTATGGCAGTATTTCATGTCTCTGTGTCCAACTAAAGGCAGAATGAAAGAGTTGACTCATTATATGACTTCATTAAAGGACCCTACACATTACCTTGGAGCCTTCAAGTATGTGGGATTCCTTCTGTAACACATTCTGAACATCCTGTGGAGTTGAGAATTTAATCCAGCAATAGCGTCTGTGGAATCCTGTGTCTCTGTCCTAATTGCCAGTTTGAAAAAATAAAATCCAATTACTACAGAAAATACTCACAGAGGCTGTTAAATTCCTATACACATTCAATACAGGATTCAGAAATTATCAGAGAAATTGGCACACTTGCTGTCTCAGGAGCCTTTGTCACACTTCAAGACATTTGCTGTCACTGACAGCATGTGAGGGCCTAGCAAAGGCTGTTCTGCATCCCTTTGTCTCAGTCTGAGCGTAGCAGTAATAAAAAAATTCAAGATTTTAAGTTCAAGTTGAAGCCCAGAATAACGCATGGCCAGTCGCTTCAAACTGCAGTAGTTACTTACTAATGGCCCAGTCACAACAGAACCGACACTTAAATGGCTGCAGTGCTTGAAAAGCATCCAGCAAGATGCAGCAGCTGCTGAGGAGACTGACCAAGCAGGCTGCCATTCCAGGTGGCAGCCACTAACTGCACCGAGAAGAAAAAAATATTTTTAAGAATAATGTGCCAGTCAGAAAAGACAGTTGTTGATAAAGAAGCAATAATGCAGAACAGCCAAGGGCTCCAATGTGTCTCCCACTCCACCAGAGCACACAGCAGCTCTGCACTCTGGTCACTGTCAGCCAGGACTGGCAGCACTTCCAAACCACCAGTGAAGTCTTCACCCACAAGGCACTGCCTGGTTTCAGTAGCACAGCCATGTCTTAGAGAGGCTGTCCTACACTGCCCATGTGTTTCTGTACCTCTGGCAGCTGGAAACATTGAGGAAACTAAATCAGAACACAGACACATGCATCATTTTAACAGTGATGGAGCTGGGTTTGTGGTAAGCTGCCAGCCTTCACCACAAAGCAAGGCAGCCTGTCCTGGGCCTGAGCAACACCAGCACGGCAGGCAGGCACCAAAGCTTCGAGTGTTCAGAAACAACCAGACTGTTCCAAACCATTCAGGGTTGGACTTGATGATCCTTGAGGTCTCTTCCAGCCTGGTTGATTCTATGATTCTATGATCTTTTTCCATTTCCAAACTGGTCCTCAATGGATAGCGAACCCATCGGCACACTAACTGAAGTTCACTACACACTGAACTTACTTTAACAGAACATTACTTCACATGGAGAAGCGTAAGCGGGCAGGAGCACCTCTACTCCTTCAGCAGTGACCTGCAACCTACCCATAAAGGAATACCTTTTCTGACTGTTCATTTCTAAGAAGCTGCACTGGACACTGTGATCCCTGACCCACACACTCAGAAGGTAACCTCAAGGGCAGAGGCATGAACAGCTATCAGTTTGGCAGCACCCTGAAGAGGTCATAGTTTTTGGATTAGCCCTGCACTCTGGATGGGGTGCAGAGCAGGAAAATATTGTAGGTTCATACCCACACCTTTAGTTGTTTAAACCAGCGAGACCAGGCACTTAAGAACCTTTTTCTTTGTCAGAAAAATGGTAACATGGTGGTAGGGAAACACAAAGCACTTCTATGTTAATCATTCAGAAATGGAAGGAGCAACAGGAGCCCTCAACATAAGGACATGGAACTGTTGGAGCAAGTCCAGAGTAGGCCACGAAGCTGGTAAGAGGACTGGAGCATCTCCCCTGTGGGGACAGGCTGAGGAAATTGAGGCTGTTCAGCCTGGAGAAGAGAAGGTTATGTGGAGACCTCATAGCAGTGTCTGAAGAGCCTACAGGGGAGCCAAAGAGGGACTCTTCGTTAGGAACTGCAGTGATAGGACAAGGGGTAATGGCTTCAAACTGAAGGGGGGGAAATTTAGGTTAGATATTATGAAAAAGGTTTGTACTGTGAGGGTGGTGAGACAGTAGCACAGGGAAGTGGTGGCTGCCCCAACCCTGGCAGTGTTCAGAGCCGGGCTGGGTGAGGCCTTGAGCATCCTGCTCTGATGGAGACATATCCCTGCACATGGCAGGGAGAGTTGTACCTAAACAACCTTAAACCCCCTCACGATTCTCTGCCTGCACCCAAATCCCTCCACAAATCATCCAGCACTACTCACGAACGGCAGCTGGCACCTCTGCACCACACCGAACTGCGAGAAATACTCCTTCAGCTCCTCTGCGCGGGGAGGGAGAAAGAGAACACACACCTGGTTACAGACCTGTGAAGGACGAAGGGAGAGGGTGAGGGGGGGGGACACGACACACTCACTGCTCGACACCGTCCAA